TTACCCTTTCTTGTGTGGTGTCTCTTTTTTTCTTTTTGGGAAGAGAATGTTGTGTTGTCGAATGGATTCCCATTGTGCGGATTTCCTATCGAATCCCCTTGTGGTGTTTTCCGATGGATTCCTGTTGTGAGACTTTCTAATCGAATCCCATTTGTGGCGCTTTCCGAAGGATTCCTGTCGTAAGGATTTCCAATGGAAGCCCCCTTGTGGCGCTTTCCAGAGGATTCCCACTGTGGCGGTTTCCACTATGATCCTTTGTGTGGTGCTTTCCAGCGGATTCCTGCCTTGAGGCGTTCCAATCGGATCTCTTTGTGGTGCTTTCCAATGGATTCCGATTGTGTGGCTTGATTTCCAGTCGAATATGTTTGTGGTGCTTTCCGAAGGATTCATTGTGTGATATTTTCAATTCGAATTTCCTGGTGGTGCTTTCGAGAGGATTCCTGTCGTGATGCTTTCCAATAAAGCCCCTTGGCGGCGCGCTTCAAGGGATTCCCATTGTGAGTGTTTCCTGTAGAATACCTTCGTGGTGCTTCCCTAACGATCCTTGTTGCAAGGTTTTGTGGTGCTTTCCAAAGGAGTTCTCTCGTTAGGCCTTTAAACGAATCCCTCTGCGGCGCTATCCAAAGGATTCCTGTTGTGAGGCTTCCCAATTGAATCCCGCTGCGGTGCTTTCCGATAGGTTTCTGTTTGTGCTGTTTTCCTATAGGAACCCTCAGTTGCGCTTCCAACAAAGTGTTCCGATGTGAGGCTTTCTGGCCGAATCCAATGGACTATTGCTGTGAGGTCTTCCCATAGAAACTCCCTCATGTGACGCTTTCCAATTGATTCCGGTTGTGAGTATTTCCACTCGAATTCTTTTTGTGGCGTTTGCCAAAAGGATTCCCATTGTGACGGTTTCCTTTGGAATCCTTGTGTGGTGTTTTCCAATGGATTCATGTTGTGATGTTTCCAAATAGCATACCTTGGTGGTGCATTCCAACATATTCCTTTTGTAATGCTTCCCACTAGAGGCTTTTCGGTGTTTCCTAAAGGATTCCTGTTCTAAGGCTTTCCAATTGACGCCCTTTGCAGTACCTTCCACAGGGTTCCTGCTGTGAGGATTTCCCGTGGAATCCCTTTGTGGGCTTTCCAAAAGATGGTTGTCGCGAGGTTCTCCAGCATAATATATGTGTGATGATTTCCAAAAGTATTATCGTGAGGTTTTCCAGTCAAGTTTCTCTGCGGCGCTATCCACAGGATTCCTTTTGAAGGCTTCCCACTTGAATCACTCGGTGGTGCTGTCCGATAGATTTCTTTTTGCGCGGCTTTCCCAATCGGAGCCCTCAGTGGTGCTTCAAGGATGTGAGGCTTTCCGAAAAATCCTTGTGTGTGTTTTTTCGATGGATTTCTTTTTAGTGCGGCTGTCCAACAGGGGCCCAATTCAATCTACTCCTTGTGTGGTGCTTTCCAAAGGATTCCCTTTGTGGCGCTTTCCAGTAGGGCCCGTCGTAGCGTTTTCCAGGCGATTCCTGTTGTGAGGAGTTCCACTACACTCCCCGACGCGGCGTTTTCCAAAAGGATTCCCAGTGTGACGGTTTCCAAAAGAATCCTTGTGTGGTGTTTTCCAACGGATTCTTGTTGCGAGGTGCTTCCTTCGAATCCGTTGTTTGGGCTGCCCATCTTTATTGCGAGGCCACCCGGTAAAGCCTGCTACTGTACACGGATTCCAAAGATGATTGTTTCTAACAGAGCGCGTGTTGTTTGACAGCGCTTTCCAAAAGGACCCTTGTTGTAAGGTTATACAATGGAATCCTATTGTAGCAATTCACAGTATGTTTTAAGCGCGAGGCTTTCCAATCGAATCACTCGGTGGTGCTTACCTACGGGTCCCGATCGAATAAGTTGGTGGTGCCTTCAGCCGTTTATTTCCAAAATAAACAAAATACATATAATGTTGTTTATGCTCCGAACGGATCCCTGCTGCGAGGCCATAGAAACTTTGTGGGGCCTTTTGTTCGGGGGATTATTGTTGCGGGTGCTCCAATACAACCCTTCTTCCCTGTGCTATTCAAAGCGTATTTGTTGTGAAGCCTTTCGATGCAACCTTTTTAATTCCCAACCATCCTGTGGTGTTGGGTCCTCGTTTTGAAGAAACGGTCCCCGCGTTCTCCCCTCCTCCTCCTCTGCCCCTTCCTCCTCCCCCTCCTCCCTCCTCCCTCCTCCCACCATCTTCACCGTCATCATCCTCCATTTCGGCACACCCCTCACACGTTTCGTGGCCCCATAGGGAGCCCCACCGAAGGCCCCAGTGCTGCCGTGGGCATGCGTCACGCACACCCAATTCGGCACACCCCTCACACGCTTCGTGGCCCCATAGGAAGCTCCACCGAAGGCCCCAGTGCTGCCGCCCGCATGCGTCACGCACACCCAATTCGGCACACCCCTCACACGTTTCGTGGCCCCATAGGGAGCCCCACCGAAGGCCCCAGTGCTGCCGCCCGCATGCGTCCCGCACACCCAATTCGGCACACCCCTCACACGTTTCGTGGCCCCATAGGGAGCCCCACCGAAGGCCCCAGTGCTGCCGCCCGCATGCGTCCCGCACACCCAATTCGGCACACCCCTCACACGTTTCGTGGCCCCATAGGGAGCCCCACCGAAGGCCCCAGTGCTGCCGCCCGCATGCGTCACGCACACCCAATTCGGCACACCCCTCACACGTTTCGTGGCCCCATAGGGAGCCCCACCGAAGGCCCCAGTGCATGCGTCACGCAGCCCCGGCACACCCCTCACACGTTTCGTGGCCCCATAGGGAGCCCCACCGAAGGCCCCAGTGCTGCCGCCCGCATGCGTCCCGCACACCCAATTCGGCACACCCCATCACACGTTTCGTGGCCCCATAGAAAGCTCCACCGAAGGCCCCAGTGATGCCGCCCGCATGCGTCACGCACACCCAATTCGGCACACCCCTCACACGTTTCGTGGCCCCATAGGGAGCTCCACCGAAGGCCCCAGTGGCGGCGCTCACATGCGCATGCGTCCCGCACACCCATTTCGGCACATCCCTCACAGGTTTCGTGGCCCCATCATCCACCGGAGGCCCCAGTGGCGGCGCTCACATGCGTCACCCACACCCACCCAATCCGGCACACCCCTCACACGTTTCGTGGCCCCATAGGGAGCTCCACCGAAGGCCCCAGCGGCCGCGCTCACATGCGTCCCCGCCACCCATCCCGGCACGCCCCTCACAACAACAGGTTTCGTGGCCCCATAAGGAGCTCCTCCGAAGGCCCCAGTGGCACCGCCCGCATGCGTCACCACCCGCACCCAAGTCGGCACACCCCTCACACGCTTCGTGGCCCCATAGTGAGCTCCACCGAAGGCCCCAGCCCAGTGGCGCCGCTCACATGCGTCCCCGCCAGACATCCCAGTACACCCCTCACGCGCTTCGTGGCCCCATAGGGAGCTCCACCGAAGGCCCCAGTAGCGGCGCTTACATGCGTCTCCGCCACCCATCCCGGCACCCCCCCCGCAGCAGCATCATGTTTCGGGGACCCATAGGGAGCTCCACTGGAGGCCCCAGTGGCGGCCCTCACATGCGCTTCCGCCACCCATGTCGGCACGCCCCGCGCGTGTTTCATGTCCCCATAGGGAGCTTCGCCGAATGCCCCAGTGGCACCCATCTCGACACACACCCCACACGCTCCGTAGTCCTATGGGGAGTTCCACTGAAGATGAAACCCGCAGCTGCGGTACTGACAACTGCATCTGGTTGGGTTCTTCGCCAGGCTAATTGTTTTTCCAAATGATGTGTGTTGCGCTATTTGCCCAGCAGAATCTTTTTGGAGCGCTTTCCAAAGGATTCCAAGTATGATTGTGTCTAAAAGAATACGTTTGCACGTTTTCCAAAAGGATCCCTGGTGCGAGGCCATCACTTAGAGGCCTTGCGTACATATGCGCAGGCTTTCCCATCGAGCCCATTTTTAGTGGTACTCTCCCACGGATTCCTGATGTGAGACTTTCCAATACAATCTCTGTGTGGCGCTCTCCACAAGACGATTCCTCGTCTGATGCTTTCTAAAAAAACCCTCAGCTGTGCTTTCCCAAAGGCTCCGATTATGGAGACTTTCCAATCGAATCTTGCGGTAATGATTCCCAGCGGATTCCTCTGGCGAGGCCATTGGATCTCTTTGTTGTGCGTTCCAAAGGGATTATCTCGTGATGCTGTCCAATAAATGCCCTCGACAGGCTTTCCAACGGAATCGTTTTGTGATGCTTTCTGGTAGAAGCCGTCAGTAAGGTGTTTAGTGAGGAGTCTCGCAGGATTATGGGATAGTTTAAGAGAGAGAGAGAGAGAGAGAGAGAGCGAGAGAGAGAGAGAGAAACAACAAAAAATAGCGAGAGAGAGAGAGAGAGACACAAAGAGAGAGAGAGAGAGAGAGAGAGGGAGAGAGAGAGGGAGAGACATAAAAGCAGGGAAATAATGTTATACATATGTATACGACGGTGCGTTTCCAAGACGAGGGAAAAGGCTACGATCAACCTTGTGGAACCCCGAGTGACTTCACAGTCCCCCAGCCCCGAGAAAACACCCAGACACAAGTTATCGTCGATCCCCCGGAAAATAATGGAAAATATGGAACGTGTGGGGAGAAACGAACACCCATACAATAATGGAAAATATAGGCAATCCTAGGAATTGTGTCTGTGTATTTGTGTGTCCATGGGTCCGGCCCTTCTCTTCATCCCCCATGTGGGTCACCCCCCAGTACACCCACCCCAACAAAAACGTCAGAATGAAACAGGTCACGACGTTTGAGGCCGCGCTCGTCACCGCCGCCGTCGCCCGTCGACGTCCGCCGCCGCCACCGCCGCCATCGTCATCGTCATCGTCGTCCGTCGTCGTCGTCGCCCTCGTGGTTGCCGTCGTGGTCGCTGTGTCGGTGTCGCCGTCGTCGTCGTCCTCGTCCTCTCCGTCGCCGTCGCCGTCGTCGCCGTCGTCGTCGTCGCCGTCGCTGCAGGAATGCGTCGGGGCTGGCGTGCTGCCGATGGGCCTGCTGCGGTGGGCGGACTCCAACGAGAGGCCCACGGCGCCTCGCTCGGCCGGAGCCGCCGGCCGCGGGCGCCTCTGCGAGCGCGTCCTCGGCCCGCGCTCTGGAGGGTTTCTCCGAAAGGCTTAGGCGACCCGTCCTCCTCCTCCTCCTCCTCCTCCTCCTCCTCCTCCTCCTCCTCCTTCCTCCTCCTCCCTCCTCCTCCTCCTCCTCCTCCTCCTCCTCCTCCTCCTCCTCTTTTTCCTCCTCTTTCTCCTCCCCCTCCCCCCCGCCTCCTCCTCCTCCTCCTCCTCCTCTCCTCCTCCTCCTCCTCCTCCTCCTCCTCTCCCCCCTCCTCTTCCTCCTCCTCCTCTTCCCTCCTCCCTCCTCCCTCCTCCTCCTCCTCCTCCTCCTCCTCCTCCTTTATCTCCTCCTCCCCCTCCCCCTCCGCCACCTCCTTCTCCTACTCCTCATCATCATTCTCGGGTCGCCCATGGCCCCGGGGGAAACCGGGCACCGCGCTCGGGTGCCCGCCTTCTCGAGGGAGGAGGTGTCACGAGGGAGGTCGCAGGCGGTTTCTTGTTGGCGGCGGCTGGGGGTCTGAGTGGGCCCAGAGGGGAGAGGCCCGAGGTCTTGGGTTGCAAGTTTCTTGCGCCAACTCATCAGGGTTCATCTCGATCTGATCGATCCGGTGCTATCTCGAGTTTGGCGGGCCCGATCTGGTTCGATTCCGTGACTCTGGCGATGAGACGCGGCCCGACGCTTGCACGGCGCAGTCATCCATCCTGTCGCAGCCGATCCGATTCGATTTCGACTCCGTGCTGGCGCAGTCCCGTTCGCCTCACACTCGGATTCGATCCGATTTCCGGAATTCGATGTTGATTGATCCTGCCCTCATCCACTCAGGAAGAATGGGGAACTCGGGGACACACCCCCGGCGGGCTGTCTAGACTCACCCTTACCGAGGTACAGTGGGGGCCCCTGCCAAGAAACACCCCGCTTGCCTCCAGGGTGCCCTGGGTTTCTTGGGTTTCGATGATTTCGCGATGGAAAGCGTGGCGTTCTCACACCAAATATCTGCGGACGTCATAGGGTCTCAGGGTCGGGTCCCTTGTGGAAGGTTTCTCGTGGACTGGCCTCCACTTTATCCTTATGTAGTGGTGGCGCCTATGTTGTGGCCCGAGCAGGCGAGGCCTTGTGAAAGAGAAGCGCAGAGTCTCATTCCCAGACGGTCGGAGACTCTAACCGCCATGACTGCGTGAACCTGAACAAGGAAGATTTCGGAGCCGCAGAGCTGGTGACTCTCGACACTCGAGCTTGCACCAATCACCAGTCTCTCTTGGCGCCTGGCGGCGCTGTACTCACGAAAGAAAGTCCAGATATATCCGAAGTTTGTGGTGCATTCATGCTGGCTTGTGTTGGTGCCAACACTGCTTGGCTGAAGATCTACGATCGTAAAGCAGTGGGACAGGCGCTCATCCCGAATACGTCTTCAGGCTGCATAGTTGTGCTTAGCGAGAATCAACTGCTGAAGGAGGTGCCCGAGAAGAAAAGGTAAGGTTTGTCCGGACACGCGTTTGAGAATGTAGGAGAACTTCCCAGGCCTGGCGAGCCATATGTGGTGTGTGAATGCTTCAGCCAACTTCGACTCGGGGTGGTGTCGTGCCCGCGTTGCATCTGATGCGCGACCCAACCCCGCCGATTCGTGACGACGGACCTGACCTGGTGCGGTTTGGCGCCGATCAGCCTGAATGGACGTTGACTCCGAGGGCGATGCGCCCAGAGAAGGCCCTTCGTCGAAGAAACACAACAGGGATAGTCTTCGTGTCTCGAAGGTGAAATGCCGAGATAAGAATATTAAGGATCACCGCAAGTTGGAGACAGAGTCGTATGTATCGCGCTGCGCGCGTTCTCATAGGGATTTGTTGCGAAAGCGCGACGGTTATGATTCACCCAGCTTCGACACGAGAATACGAGGAGAGCAAACCGTTGGCATGCTCCTCGGCGGTCCCGCAAAAGTTCAGGAAACGCCTCTGGCACGTCGGGAACGAATCCAAGCGAAGGCATGCTCAACTGGTACCCAGAGTTTCGCACGTTGGCTGGCCCTGATCCGAAGTCGATCGTACGGTCGTAGGGACTGCAGGACAATCCCAGTTACCTGCGCCAGGAGTTCGCACAGGGCAGGGATGCTGCAATCAATGTTGGTAACGTGCGCGAGGCGCAAAGACTTGCTGGGGCCTCTAACAGCTTTCAGAGTAACGCAGTATGTACACGCAACATACTGCGCTTGAAAGGCGGTGGAAAGATCCCAGTCGTCCCCGGGTGCTGACCCCTGGGTGCTCCAGGACCGTCTCTCCATACAGGGGGTGGTGAAGCTTTACATATCGAATATATGTCTGATGTGCTGGTGGCCGTTGAGACCCCTGGGATTGCAAGAAGCGCGGGGGGAGGCTCGGCAGCGGCTGTCGCCGAGCTGTGTTTCTCAGAGGCTCGTTTTGGGGTGATTCTCATCCTCCTCCTTCCCCCTCCTTCTCCTCCTCCTCCTCCTCCTCCTCCTCCTCCTCCCCCTCCTCCTCCTCCTCCTCCTCCTCCTCCTCATCATCATCCCCTTACGCGCGTGACCGAGAGGTGGGCGCAGCGGCGGCGACGGCATGCTGATGATCCTTGGCAAGGGGTAGCCCGAGTTTAGAGGAACAGTGCGCGCCGTGGCAAATTGAGGGCCCATCCATCTAACAAGGTCCGTATGGAGGGATCCCCAGGGTTAGGAGACTGGAGCCTCGAAGCCGCTCATTCCTCAGCGGATGTCGATGATCTGGTTTCTGCGGAGTCCTACGCGCTTGCTCGCGCGGCTTGCGCGTCTTCGCGGCCTTGTGCAGGGTGTCCGCAGTGCTCACAAGTTGAAGTCCAAGCCATAGCTGCTGCTCGGACGCATGGTGTTTGTTGTGTGAAGCAGGCGCTCTTGATCAAGCGCAGCAGCTCCGACATGTGTCACGATGGGCGGCAGCAGGACGCTTACATCGCGCGCTATGTTTCGGTGCCTCGGGAGCCCTCATGCTCCCAGTCTTTCGAGACTGGAGCGTGAATTTGTCCCGTATCCTGCACGTTCTTTATTGCTAGAAATCAAATGCATCCAATTCCACGCATGCTGAAACATACCGTAGATAGATCACGGGCCCGTTCGCGCCCAGATTGCCGGGACATGTCGGAGAGCCCCGTGACCGCTGTGATGTAGCAGGCCACTTACGCCCCCCAGAGGGGGCCCACCACTGGGTGTATCACGAGCCCGTTCGCGCCAATACTGCCGGCCAGGTCCACCTCTGCGCAGTCGCAACCTTGCTCGTTCGGGAAGAAACGGGAACGCTATCACAGCGATGCACCGAGTGATGTCTGAGTTGGTCCCTGCGGTGGCCCGTCCGTCTCGGTCGACGGGACCTACGGAATGCAGCCCACGGCGCCAGGCCCATGCGAAATATGGGATCGGGATCGGGATCTCTGGGACCCCCCCCCGCATCGCAGAAACATGGCGCCACCGCGCGCTGAAACGTCAGGCTCTGGACCCGTCCGCCCTTAGGAGGAGGTGGACGATGAGGAGGAGGGCATGGCTGGGGAGTAGGAGGAGGAGGAGGAATCATAATACTAATAAGCAGAATACTAATGATACGAATAATAATAACAATATGAAGAAGACTAATAATAATAATACGAGTAATAATAATATGAACAATACTAATGAGAAAACTACGAATAATAATGCTGATACGAAGAAAGAAAATATCAATACTAATAATAACAATAATAATACTAATACTAATAATGATAATAATAATAATGAGAAGAAGAAGACGAATAATGATAACAAGAAGAAGAAGATGAGGAGGCGGAGGAGGAGGAAGAAGAGGAGGAGGAGGTGGCCGCGGGGGTGGGTGGGTTGGTGGGGGGCCCGGGCCGCCCCGGCGGCCCAATGACCCCCCCACCCGGCCGCCGTGGGTGCCTCCGAGCCAGCTGCCGACCCGTTGCCGCCAGAGTTCGGCGGCGCGCAGTCCCAGAGGAGGAAGAGGCAGCGATACGGCTACCCTCCGCTCGTTTTCCCCTTCTTGGGCCTCCTAGGCGGTCCTCGTCGCCACCGCTGGATTCCCTTCCGAATCTTGGTCAGAACGCACCCCATGAGAGGTCAGGGGAGTAGCGGTATCGGTACCTTTGGGTTTCCCCAGGTGGCGGCGCCAGGGCGGGGGAGGGCTTTCTGAAAAGGCAGGGGGGGCGTCTTAGACGGCAGGGGCCTTCTCAGAAGCGCCTGGGCGGATTCCGAAAAGCCGCCAGGTGTTTCTGAGAAGGCCCCCGCCCGCTGCCTCCTTTACAAGTCCCCCACACTCGCGCCATCCCACTTGTGCGCGCCCGTTTTCCTGGATGTCCATCCCCCCCCGCCCCCCTCGCGGCTTCCCCCCCCTTTGGTTGTTGTGTGTGCCGGGTGTCTCTCTCTGGTCATCAAGCGTGGCACCACGCAGTTGGAGCCCCTTGCAAAAGCAAGCATTCCCTTTTTGCTCCCTCGTCCCCGCTCCCACCCCTCTCGACGGGGGAGGGGAGGTCGACCCCGTGGGCATTGCCTCCTTCTTCCTGCCAGGCCCTACGTCTGGACCAACCCCAGCTCCAGCACGGTCCTGCAGGAGGGCGATCTCCTCTTCGTCCTGGGAGACCGCTACTACGGGAGCCTCGCCTTTGAGGCCAGCATCTTTCTGTTGCTGCCCCTCCCTTCCGTACCTCACGCCTAGCATTAAGTCGGCGTGTCCCTCTACAGGAGGAAGATTCAAATAGCTGCTGCGTCTCCTCTCCCTCCTCCCTCTCCTCGGCTGAGAGGGTGTTATTCCACTCTTGTGGCCCCCATTGGAGCCATCTTGAGGCGTTCCGAAGCTCGCAGGAAGCGAACAGGCGAGAAAGCCAAACTGATTGAACGTAGTTAGTGCCTTGAAGGGTTTGGGCCTCCTGGAAACGCCGTTGGAGCTGTCTTGGGCCTCGACTGGAGCGTTCGCGGGGGACTTCGGAGGCCTCTTGGAGCCCGTCTGGCCACACTTGGAGCCATCTCGAGCGATCTCGGAGTCACCCTGAGGTATCATTACACCACAGGGAGCGGGAAGACAAGACATCCAGAAAATAAGTGTGAACACCTCTATGGCTTTGCAGGATGTTGGCCTTCAGAGGCCTCTTGGGGGCTGTCGTCGACCATCTCTGGCCACCTCGGGTTATCGTGGGTGCATATTAGGTTAGTTTCGTGGCAGTGTTGGGGTCTACCACCCCTTGATACTCGCTCCTGGGTCTCCTGGAAACGCCGTCGGGGCAATCTCGTCCTCTACTCGGAGCTCGCGGGGGTCTGCGCCACTTTCAGCCATCTTGGGCGACCTTGGAGTCATCTTGAGGCACCCCAAACCAGTAGGAAATAAGATTCTGGCGAAGGGCCCAAACATATTCAGTCGTGAGTACCGCAGTTCTGAGGATCGCCTTCGGTGGAGTTCCCTATGGGCTGAGTGGCCGCGAAGCGTGCGAGGGGTGCGCTGGAATGGTGTAAAGAAGGCATGCGAACTGTGGCTCTGCGGCCTCAGGTGGAGCTCCCTGTGGGGCCACGAAACGTATGAAGGGGTGCGCCGAAGCAATGTGGAGAAGACCTGCGAACCTAGCCTGTGGGAAAGTCGGTGGAAGCCGTATGGGGCTATGGCGCGTGCGAAGGGTGTGCCGAATGGGCGCGGAAACACAATCGGTCGGGCCCGCTAGGACCGTAGGTGGGACTCCCCATGCGGACCGTGTGAGGGTGCGCCGGTGGACCCGCTGAGAACCGTCGGTGGACCTCCCCATGGGGCTACGGAACGTGTGAGGGTGCGCCGGAATGGAGTGGGAGGGCATGCGGGCTCTGGCACTGGGGCGTCAGGTGGAGCTCCCTGTGGGGCCACGAAACGTGCGAAGGGGTGCGCCGAATTGGCGTGGAGAAGGCGTGCGAATCTCGCCACTGGAGCCTCAGGTGGAGCTCCCTATGGGGCCAAGAACGGTGTGAGGGGTGTGCCGCACTACGGAGGGCAGAGGCAGGGATGTGAGAAGAGGGGGGGTGCAGCGAGAAGGCATGAAGGAAGGAGACGCGGGGCGATGCGTATTCAAAACGGCCACACCACAGGATGTTTGGGAACAGTCGCAGCATCGCGAAAAGCCGCGGCCCGAGCCCCCGACCCCGTCCCTCTGCGGCGTTTCTCCGGCCGGATCGATATTTAATTCTGGTGGTCCCTGGGGCCCGAGGCCGGGCGAGCACGAAGGGCGTGAGACGACTGCAGCTCCCGGATCTCGGGTCTCGGGAGGATCATCACGTCCTCCTCCGAGTCGCATCCGTGCCCTGCTGCTCCTCCTCCTCCCTCCCTCCCTCCCTCCCTCCCTCCCTCCCTCCCTCCCTCCCCCTCTCTGCTCCTCCCGCGAGCCCCTGCGCCCTCCCCCCCGACAGGCCGGCCTGCTGCCCCTGTCCGGCAAGGGCGGCTGACGGCTCGCGCGGCCCGGGATCGGGGGGCCCCCGGCTTGTGGCCCCGCGCGCGCATCGGAGAGCCCCCGCAAAGGAGGGGGCCGAGCGCGGCCCGAAAGGAGCCCCGCGACCCGTCTCCTCCTGCTTCAGATCGGCGGCGATCGAGGCATGACAACGAGGGGGCTGGGAGCGAGGGCGGCGGAGGGAGGGAGGGAGGGGAGAAGGGGCAGAAGAAGAAGACATAGAGAGAAGGAGGATGGGGGAGGAGGGGGAGGTGGCAGGACGAAGAGGAGAAGTCCTTGCGAGCACCGCCCAGGGGATGCGATGTCTCGCAGGAGGAGCGACAAGGGATGATGGAGGATGGGGAGGCGGCGGGGGAAGACAAAAATGATCGTTGGAAGAGACGGAGGCGAGGAAGCGAGGCATGACAACAAGTTGAGGTTGAGCGCGCTGGAGGCGAGCCCGAGCGGCAGCCCCATGGACAGAGAGCCATGAACCGTGGAGTGTCTCCTGCGAACTTGTGGATGCGGGCCTGCCTGGGGTGGCCCCCATGTGGCCCAAATTCGGCGGCGAACGCAGGGGGGAAGTGAGAGAGGGGCGGACCTTCTCAGAAGGCTCGGAAGTCCCCCGGCCTCTTGAGAAGTTTTTTGGAGCCTCCACCGAGGACGAGAAGTCCCGCTGCCTTCGGAGAAGGCCTTCTCCTTATCATTTGCCCCCCTCGCTCGCCCCCAATGAGAGAATCGAAGAAACAAGGTCATACACATAAACTTTTGGAGCTCTGCGCGGATCCAAGAAAACTGCGCGGAGCGCCAACAGTCGGTGTTTATGCCCTTTCTCTTTCATTCAGAGGAGGGCGGTGTTTGAGGCACACGTGGTTGGCCTTCGGGGGGGGCTTTGTCGCCACGGCTGGACGCAGCTCACGGGGGACCGATTTTGAGCTGCCATTGTCTCAACTCCTTCTCCTCCTCCTCCTCCTCCTCTTCCTTGCTTCCTCCTCCTGTACCTCCCCCCTCTGTCCTCCGTCCTCATCTTTACCCACCTGCATCTCACCCCCCCTTCCCTATCCCTCGAAGAAGAACACATGCCATCCACTTTCCAAGGTCCGCGCGGAGCTCCTGCGGCTCCCCCTTTTCCCCATTCCCCGCCCCTCCCTGGCTCCCCATCTTGTCCCCCTCCTCAAGGGGGAAAGCCAACCCGATCCCCACAGGTGGCTCTTACTGAACGGCCCTGGACGCTGCACTGGACAGCCTTGTCCTGTTCCAGTCCCGTCTAGGGTGCGTTTGCCCAGCATTTTCTCGGGCGATGTGTCTCCGGAGTCCTCCTCCTCCTCCTCCTCCTCCTCCTCCTCCTCCTCCTCCTCCTCCTCCTCCTCCATCTCGGCCTCCTGGGTGCCGTTCTCGGGCTCCAGGACCGTCAGAAATATCAGGATGCAACTCATTCCTGGGAGGTCGACTTCAGAATCGGCCCCGGCGTGTTCCTGGTCGGAGACTGCGAATCTGGTATCGTCCCGTTTAACCTTGTTTCATCCTGCTTGATCCGTTTAATGTGGCTTGATCCCAGGCTGGATTCTGGGCTGCAACAGGACTAATCCGGCTCCGTTATCCTTATTGTGGTTTAATAGGTCTTCTTCGTTCTGACGGAGACCTCCCAGGAGTTGTCTTCTAAAGTGGACATGGGGTGAACAATTGTACCCAGGGGCGGGGTCTGGAGCTCTGGTGCCACCGAGTGAAAGGAATCGCATCGTTGGACATGTGGGAGGAGCGGCGAGAGTTCTCCTTCTTCTTACTCGTCTTCTTACTGTGATTTTCCTTTCGAGAGAGAGAGAGAGAGTTGTTCTAGACGTCTGGGAGGAGTGGGAGGTCTGGGAGGAATCGCATCGCTGGACGTCTGGGAGGAGCGACGCAGGACCCAGAGATCCAGCGTCTCAGAGAAGTCGCGGCGGGAGCTCTTCTTCGCCATTCTCCCTCTGGAGGCCTGTTTCGGGCCTCGGGGCCCTCCGTAGAACGGCCCAGGACGAAAGCCTGGCCCCGGGGAAGGGGTCGAGAGGTCAGGGGCCCGTGTCTGGAACAAATCGTGCCACTGGACTTCTGGGGAAGAGAAGAAGGAGGAGAAGGAGGAGGTGGAGGAGGAAAGAATCATGTAGAGGATCCTCATCCTCATTCTCCTCCTCCTCCTCCTCCTCCTCCTCCTCCTCTTCCTCCCCCTCCTCCTCCTGGGAGCGCTCACCGGGGGCCCGTTCCTCAATCGACTGAGGGGCCCGAAAGGGGAAAAGGAGTTAGCCAGCACCACCCGACGCGTCTTGCCAGGAGGTCGGATGTGGGGGCAGCTCGCCCCTCGAGGGCCTGCTGGCCACCTGCCTCCCTGCACGGGCGGGGGGATGGCACGGCTGGAGAGCCCAGGGGAACAGTTGATCCCTGACCCCCTTTCCCCTCCCCTCCCCTCCCCTCCCCTCCCCTCCCCTCCTCCCCTCCTCCCCTCCCCCCTTCCTCCATCTCCCCCTTCCCCCTTCTCCCTGTGCGTGGCGTGGATTTGCCAAGGCCTGCGGGGGGCATTCGGTTCGCAACCAAGCATCTTTGCGGAGTGATCGGCCGGGAGCGCTCAATCACACCGAACAGCGAAGCCCTCCCCCCCCCCAGAGATGGACCGTGTGGGTTGAGGCGTGGTGCGCGACGAGAGAAGCAAGGCGGGCCTCGATGCGCTTGGCCCGCTGGGCCACCACCAAGTCGGCTCTCGTGGGCGGCGTAGCCGCCGCCGCCTCCTCCTGCCGAGCCCGTCAATCCGAGCGAGGTCCAGGAGTGCCTGCTCGGGAGGGCTGCTTCAGCCGCACCTCGGTTGGCGGCTTCGTCTGCTGCTTGGCTGGCTGGGAAAAGGGGTCGCTCGACGAGGTGGCCAATATCCGACTTTGTCAGATGTGACCTCACCTTCTTAAGTTCAACGTCCCCTGGGTGATCCCTGAGCGCCGCTCAGGAACGCAGCCAGGCAGCCGTGTGGGATTCTCCCAAACGCTCTGGACATCTAGCGACTCCCTTCAGCATATAGGTGGCGTCCACGGCAAACACTCCAGGCCCCGCCGTATGCATCAGGGCATGGGTGATTCCTTCCGGCTCAGCAGCGGGAGCGGTCTGTTCTTTCCCGACAAGGGGGCCCCAGGCAGTGCCGTGTGCCTGGTTATTGAAAATGGCGAAAAAAGCCCCAGCCGCATCTCCTAGCTCGGATATCGGACGAGTGGTTACCCCCACTCCCATCAGAACCAACGGCTGAGGAAGGAGGGAGGAGGAGTCTCACGCTTTCCTGAATAACGCCTTCAGAAGAGAAGCTCTGGGAGGGCCACTTAGCGACGACGTGGTCGACCCAGCCAAGGGGAACCAGACCTCGCTGCCAGAAACAGAGCATCGTCGCATTCAATTGCGGCCCGTCCTCGAAGTTCGAAAGGTGTGCCTCGTTCAGACCGCAGGCAACGGCACCCCCCACTGTTGGTGATACAGGGTCTCGCGACACTTGTTATACCTGGGGTATGTTGGTCGATCGGGTTCATTGGAGTACCTCCGTACATCAGGCCATAAGACCCCCGTCGCCAAGAGATCGAGGAAACTCGCATGCCCGTGAAGTTTCTTGCGGCGATAAAACTTGATCATCCTCTGAATGATTGTAGAAAGTCTGCTCTGTGTTCAGGGCCTTTATCGCAGAGGTGATGTACTGCTTGGTCCACCCAGATCAGACAGTTTCTCCAGCATATCGGCCCAGGCCCATGGAGATTTCGGATCCCAGCCGGCCTGGAGGAGAGTCGTGATGACAGCCCTGGTGGGGCCACGGGCTAGCAGCTCCTCGCAACGTCGCCAAGCAGTTGGTCCGCGCATTCTCCAGAGCTGTCCGCTCCTTGATCAGCTGTGGGAGGGCACTCGACCATGCTTTGACGAGATCGTGCCTGCCGAAGCAAAGTGGGACGCCACGTTTACCTGGGCCTCATCGGAGAGCGCCGGTCGCGCGCCCCCCAGCCCACTGCTTGCCCGTGATGGAGGCTATGGTGGTCCTGAGGGCCTTGAGCGCTGTCGGGGGCCCTCCCTGGGCAGCTCGGCTCCACGAGGCCTGTGGTTTTACACTCGTTAAGCCCAGCTTGGTGGCCCTCCTTGTAGCCTTTTTGACACGTCATGCAGTTGCTGTCGTCGCTCTCCGTTGCGACGAGAAGTCCAAGCCTAGGTCTCGCGCCTCAGTAACGGCTGCACCATGATGCCTTCAGCCGCGGGATAAGAGTGAATGTTCTGCAGGAGCTGTCTGGTACTAGCGAGCAACGTCGATTTATCGGAAAACTTGAGGCCTTGCGATCGAATTTTGGACACTGAGGATTTGACCCCTGCGACTGTGAGCCTGTGAACGATCACCTTCGGCCCGCGGGTCTGCACGCCAATGTCGTCGACCTAGGTGCTCAGCTCCATGGGTCGAACATTAGCATGAGTGGTTACCATCATATCAGCCACCAACTGTAAGTAGCCCTGCTGGACGGACCGCTCTGCCAGGATAAAATCTGAAGTTTCCTGGCTTACCGTCAAAACTCGCGAGGCAGTGCGCATGGCCATTCCGATATACATGATGTGCACAGGGGTAGTCCTGGGCCCGTTCTAGCATGTACACCCCAAACGGACTATAGAAGCGTGTCGAACAGATCTTCGGCATCCAGGAGAAGCACTGCCCGGCCCACCTGGGTTCAGGAGGCCGCTTCGGCCCTCGCAAGCCTGACGAGGGCAGCCGTGAGGAGGTCCGAGTTCTTGATAGCGGTGTCTTGTTTTCTTCTGCTCCCAGGAAGAGATGGGGCCTTTGCGGACCGTGGACCAGACGCGGTGAAACTCTGGGTTTGTGTGTTCGGTCAATTTCGTTATCCGCTAGGTTTTGGGTGCATCCTTACGACGTTCAAGAGAATTTGCTCGGGCCATGCGCACTGCTGTTCCACGCTACTCGACATATCGACCATGGCAGCATGCCCTTGATATGTGAGATCAGCCCACCGCCGCGGGCGCCATCGGCACGCGCTCGTGCCCATCGCTCCAGAGAAACAAAGTGCAATGTGTAAGAATTTGCGCGGTAGTGATGGGCTCGACATCTGCTGAAGCCTGAACCGCATCAGCGCGATAATCTGTCCACCATGCCTGCTCCGTTGGGCGCCCATGGCCTTGGGGGGCCCCGCAAGAGTTTGCTCTTTAACCATCATGGTTTACGTGGGGCCCCAGAGCGGTTGTCCTGGCGCAGTGAGTTCTATTTCAGGTAGCGGTTCACGAGGGCCCCAGAATTTCGCGCGCCAGCGGGCCCGTTTCGAATTTCCCCAAAGATTGTTCTGGAGCTGCTCCTGGAGGCCCTTCTGGTTGGCGTTGTAAGTGTTCTTATCTGATTGATTTCCTCCTCCTCCTACCCCATCCTACCCCTCCTCCTGCTCCTGCTCCTGCCCCCCCATCCCCCCCCTTGTCCTGCTCCTCCTCTTAGGGGGGGGGGGGGGGGGGGGGGGCAGGAGTCCCCCTCCTCCCTTTCCCCCGCCATTGCTGCCATGCCCAGACATCCGACGTCGTTCTGCGGTTATGTCAGAACGTCTTTTGTCAGCAGGGAACTCTTGGAAGGCATCGCGGAAGCCTTTTGGAGGCGGTCTTGGGATGTCTTTAGGGCCTCTCGGGGGACTATCGGAGGCTTCTCTGGGGCCTGAGTTGGGCAGCTTCTCGGGGGCTTCCCGGAGGTCCTGGGGGGCTTCTTTGGGGCCTGCTTTGGCGGAGGGCTCGAACTGGCGGTTCGTGTTCACCCTTTGGCCTTCTTGAGCCATCTTTGGGCCCTCCTGGGCCATCTGGGGACCCTCTTGGGCCGTCTTGGAGCGATCGAGGGGGCCTCTTGGACCTTGCTGGGGCATGCAAGGGTCGAAGCGGCGAGAACGTAAACATAATTGAGCAAATATTGGGAACTCATGGTTTGAGCTTCTTGGTGGGGGGGGGGGGGGGGGCGCTTGGAACCCGCTTGGGGCGTCTTGTGGGCCTGTTGGGCCCTCTGAAGGCCATCTCGGGTTCCTTGTAACGATCTTCGGGCGACTTGGCGCCCTCTTAGGCCATGTAGAAGGCCCCCTAAGGCCCGCTCGGTCGGACTTGAAGCCCTCGTGGCCCCGAAGATATCGCGCGAGTTTCGGCTCGAGTGTTTGCTTGGGGTGTCAGCTTGGCTGACGAGCGACCCACCTCGTGCTGAGATCACGCGCGCCCGCAATTCCCGACGGCGGCCTGGGGGGCTGCCAATCGCCATCGGGCGCGCGTCCGCCGCTCGGCGGTCAGCGCTCTGCTCCAGGCCTGGGCCCGGCGTTCGTCGCCGGCCTTCCACGAGCGGTTGCAGCGGGCGGCCGCTCTGTTGGAAGGCCACCACGGCTCGTTTGCGGGCAACATGGCGCCAGCGTCGTGGGCCACTGGCGGACGCTGCAGGGCTGCCACCGCAACGTCGTGGACCTGCCATTTCTGCCAGGGCAGGGACGGGAACGCCTACGTCAAAAAGGCCTTCCGCGCGGAGTGCAACATGTGCGGCCTCCGTAAGGGCAGCTGCTTCCTCGCGAAGGTGGAACCCAAGGGGCCTTCGCGGCGGGCGCCTCCGGCGGCCAATGCGCAACGCGAGAAGGACCTCAAGGCTAAGGGGGCCGAGCTCCGCGAGCGCGAGGTCGCCCTCGACAAGGCCGAGAAGGGAACCCAGGCTCCCCTCAAAGGATGGCCGCGGGGAGCGAGGACCACGCTGGCGCTGCTGTGTCGGCCAAGGCGGACCGGCTGCGTGCCGACCTCGACGCCCTGGGCGGCATGGAGGGCACCGGTGTCGAGCAGCTCCGCGCGGGGAAGCGGGGGCAGCTCCGCGCCCTGCAGGCCGCTCGGCTGGCGGCAAAGCTGGTTCACGCCCAGCTCAAGGAGCTGGATGAGACGTTGCTCTGCAAGCGGAAGTTGGTCGAGCGCGCGGAGTTCATTGACATTCCCGCGGCCGTGGAAAAAAGGTTACCACATTCCAGGCCGAGCACGCCGAGGCGGCCGAGGAGAAAGCTGAGCTGCAGAAGTAACGGTACGCCTCGGCGCTTGCGGCGGTGCCCTCGGCGCTGCCCACAGGGGGCGCCCGGGGCTGCCAGGCATGCGCGGCGCTCGAGCTGTCTGAGAACGTCGGGAAGCTCCTGGTGGGCGCCACCGCTGGCCCCATACAAGGCGGATTTGGACGCCTTGCAGGCCGCTGCAAGGGCTGACATCCACGAGGAGAACGCGCCAGAGCAGCCGCAGGCGGTGCGCGGAGCTGGAGCAGGCGGCCTTCCCCCGCCCGCCGGCGTAGCGCCAGTGCATCTTGATCCAGCTGCTGGGCCAGGAGACGGAGCAGGCGCGGAAGGAGCAGGGGGAGGCGGAGGAGCAGAATCCCAACCAGTGCCCCCAGACCTCGACATGCTCGATGGGGAGGACCAGGCCGCCCTCGACGCGGTCTCGGTCGAGCTGGTCGCCGGCGGCGCTGCTGCTTCTGCCGGCCGCGGCGATCGCGCCGCCAGGCGAGCAAAGGCCAAGGTGGTTGCGCGGCTAGCGGGGCAGCTGGTCGCCCAGACCGTCGGCGAGAAGAAGTTGCCTGGGTGGCGCCTCCAGCGCCCCAGGCCCGCTTCTCGGGAGCTCCGCGCCTCTCCCGCCCCGGCCTCGGCGGCTTGACGGCCCGCGCAGGTGAGGGGGGGCAGCGCGCCTTGGCTGAAGGCAGGCGGGGCGGCTGCCGACCTGCGCATTTCCGGGGTAAATGCCAGCGCGTGGATCTTAGCCCATGCAGCCTTGGATTGGTAATTACGTGGCCTTCGCGGAGGAGCCGGGCTGCCGGCGCTTGCCCGGGATGTGGCTTGTCGGGAGTGGGCTGACCGGCGCCGCATGGCCATGGTTTTCAGCTGGGCTGCTTCGACGGGACCCGGCCCGCTCGAATCCTCCATGGGCGCGGCGGCGGGGGTCTCCAAGGCCACCCCTTCGAGCCCCCTCGAGCTCGACTTGGGTGAGGCCTATCAGGGCCCCTTCGCATGCCGGGCCCTGAACGTCGGCGGCAGCTCCAGTCTCGGCGATTTCAACGTCGGGCTGCAGGATCTCCTGGCGGCGGCGGTCCTGAAGCTCAACGTGCCGTGGGTCGTGCAGGGGGGCTGGGACATCTGCGCTCAGGTGTTGGAGGATTCGCAGTGGGCCGATTCCCTCCTGGGTGCGATCGTCGCGCCATGCGGCTCCGCGTGCTGGGCCCGCGACCCCGAGCCAGACGATTGCGCCGCCGCGTTCGATTTTTTCGCGGTGGCTCGGGAACTCCGGCCCCTTGCGGCGCAGGTCCGGATCATGGGGGGCGCGCCCGCCTGCCGCCTGCCCGCTCAGCCCCGCGCGCTTAAAGTTGGCGGGCTTGGGTTAGCACGCGCGTCTTCCCCGGGCGCGGCGATGCAAGGCCTGCCCCGCGGAGCCTTGGATAGGGCCGCGGGCCTTGCCGCCGGGTGCGGATTGGTCTTGGACCAGCGGTGTTGCGCCCCCATCTCCGGCACAAGGGCTCGGCGAATGGTTCGCCGCGGCCGAGGTGCAGCTTCGCGCTTTGCACGGCGCTCAGGAGGCGAATGCGCGCAGGCCTGGACGCGCTCAGGGACGCCGCCTGGCGCGGGCCCCCTTTCGCGATGCCTGGGGCCGCGCGCTGGCGGGGCGCCTCGACGGCCGCGCGTCCACGTGGAAGATCTTCCGGCTGCTCGTAGGGAAGGCAGCCAGTTTGGCAAGGCGACCTCTCAGTGTGGGGGGGCGTGTACTGCGAGCTCAGCGGCGGTGCGTCCTCCGACGCACTATCCAGACAATGGATTTCCAGGACTCGCGCATCAGGCCGGGGCGGGCCCAGGATTCCTTGGACGAGCTGGGCGGGGTGGGCGACACGATGCGCCAACGCGCTCTGGAGGAGCTCCAGACCGCGGAGGCGCAGGTTCAGGCGACCCACGCGGCATCCGCGCGGGCACGCTGGCGCGCGTTCGCGGCGGGCGCCGCGCAGACGGAGGGCGCGTCGCCCGCCGGAGGATCATGGGGCCGCCGCCGCCGGCTGGGGCCGTGCTTGAAGCCGGCTCGGGGCTTTGCCCGCTGCCTGTCAACGGGGTCGCAGCGCTGGAGGTGTTGCCGCGGGATTTGTTGCCCATGTGGGCCCAGCATGCGGGATCCGAGCCATGGGCTTGGAGCTGCAGCGATAGCCTGCCGTCTATCACGCGTGCCGACGATGCAAGCAAGGCCATGGCGGGCCTCGGCTGGTGCAAGTTCCACCCGCTTTGGATTTTCGATTTGCAATTGGGGACGCAGCAGCGCTTTGTGGACTTCCTCAACCACTTCGATGCCCGGCTGGAGGAGACTTTCGGCATGGCAGACATGCTAGTCAACAGCGTCGTGTCCTTGGGGGAATCTGGCGGGGGCGTCAGGCCAATTCGGCCGCTGCCATTGCTGTCCAAGGTCTGCGGCCGGGCGCGGCAGCCTCCTTGCAGGGCCTGTGAGCAGGCGCGCCCGTGCGGCGCTTCTTGGCGGGAGCGGCTTGCAGTCCCGCGGGCGCGCGGGCCGGGCGCCCAACATGTTGCAGCGGCGCGCGCGGGCCAAAGGCATGTCGGCAGACGCGGCATTGATCGTCATCCGCAGGTTTTATGAGGAGGTGAACCACGAGCTGCAGGCGGGGCGCGCGGAGGGCTTTCCCATGTGCGTGCTGCGGGCTTTGTGCGCGATCCACGCGGCCCCCAGGCCCAGGGCGGCCATGCGGGGCGGTGCGGCTCCGCGAAATGAGCGGCCTACCAGGGCGATCGTGGCCGGCCGCTCTGGCCGCGCCCCTCCTCGCCAAGCCCCTTCGGGAGGCCATTGTCGGCAGGCCTTGCGTCGCCACTCGCAACGTCGTAGACGACGTCGCCATCCAGGGCGTCGGGGCGCAGGAGAAGGTGGCGGAGCAGCTTGGCAGCGCAACCGCCGACGTCATCGCCAGCCTCTCGGCGCTGCAGCTGCCAGTGCACGAGGAAAAGCTCGCGTACTTCCTCTCGGACGCGGGGGTCGAGGCTACCTTCGCGCGGCGCTAGGTGCTTGGCCCCATGCCAAGGTGCACAGCGCGGCGGGCCCGCCGCCACAGCCACGCGGCACCGCCGCGACTGGGCTGTCCCCAGCTGTCTTGCACCAGCTCCAGATCCAGGTTGCACGAAGTTTTGTGCCTGTGGCCAGGGGAGCTTCGGTCGGATTTCGGATCGCCGCCCGTGGGGCGCCTCCTGAGCACGGGCCCGATGCGTGGCCGTCGAAGGTGGGGCCGTGGCGCAGCAGTGGGTTCGCGCTGTCTGGGAGGGCCTGCCGCAGGGCGCGGAGTCCTTCGAGCGCGCCTGCAGGACGCCGCGGCGCGCCTGGGCCACCGGCGGCGCCCGTGGCCGCAGGCCATCTCCCCCGCGGACGTGGCCTTGCTGGCGCTGGGCCGGTGCGGTCGGCACTTCGCGGGCGTGGCCGGAGTGGTCACCGACGCGGGCGCCCGCTTGGACCTGCTGCGCTAGGCCCCGGGACTGTTTGCCCGGCTTGCCCAAGAGGCCGCGCGGCGCGCCTTGGATTGGATGGCGCTGGCGCGCGAGGCCAAGGGGCGCGTGGCGCCCGCCGCTGGGCGCGGGCAAAGGGCGGCGCGATCTTCCACAGGGCGCATGAGTGCGATGCCCTTGCCGGCTGTAGGCGGACCGCTGCACCCCCATTTCTGGTCGCGAGGGCCCGGCGGGCGCAGCGCGAGGGGCCCGTGGTCGCCGAGCGACTCGCGCGCGGGATCCTCCCGGGCCCCCAGCACCTCCTCTGGAGCGACATCGGCTGCCAGCAGCTCGAACCCCCTTTCAGAGCGTGAATTACTTACCCCGCTTTCGCTTCCAGGCAAAACCAGGTCATACCATGCGCCTCCTCGTCAAGCGGCCTGACCAGTACAGGCCGTAGTTTGGCATCGTTTGGTATCTCTCGGAAGCGAGGGTGGTCAAAAGCGAGGAAGGTTTGTTTTCCCCTTACCATTGCTGGAATCGGCCCATCTCTGGTCGACTCGAGGGCTTGCTGTTCACTGACGGCTCCGCCTTCGCAGGGCGCCCCCCAGGCGTCGGCCGGGCTGGGTGGGCGGTCGTTCAATGCAACCGGTGGGGCGCGCCTGAAGCTGCTGCCCATGGCCCTGCGCCGCTGGCAACGTGCCCCAGGCAACCCAGCCGCGCTGGCGAGGATTTCGCCATCCTCGCGCCCCCGCAGGTGGCGATGGGGCACCGCGACTTCTTCGTCGATTGCGCCAGCACCGTGGCCGCCCTGAGGCGCGGGCCAGGGGCCCCCTCAGGAGACGGGCGGGCCCACCTGTGGGGGACATCTTGCGTCCTTTGAGATCGGGGACTTCGCGGTCACGAAGGTCCTCGCCCACGCCGCGCGCGCCGACGTCGATGCGGGGGGGGGCAATCCAGCGGGGGCGCGCCGGCAACGCAGCCGCGGACACGCGGGCCAAGCGCGGGGCAGAGTGCCACGGCATGCCCATGGCCCATGGAGGTTGAGGAGTTCACGCTCGCGCTGAACGACGTCGCCGCCCAGGAGGTCGCGCCCTGGTCGGGGGAGTTCCACGCGACCTCGGCCGACGACGGCATCAAGGATTGCGATGACTAGGGGGCCCGGCCGCGTGGGCAGCCTAAGCCCGTCGCCGGGGTGGAGCTTGTCGTCGGCGACGGCCCCAGCACCGAGCACGCCGAAGCCAGCGCTGAACCCGCGGCTGTCGAAGGCGGCGGCGCCGGAGGAGCGGCGCGCAAAGGACCCGGAGCAGCTTCGCATCAGCTCAGGGCTGCCGAGGCCACCGCTCCCGGCCGCCCGTCTCATACCCTGGCGGCGTGTCTGAGGTGCGGGGCCTATGGCACGAACTGCGCCCGCAACCTGGCAGGCACGTGCCACGGAGCAACCAAATTTACGCTCCAGCGCCAGAAGGCCCGCCTGGCTGACGGATGTCACCAAGGGCACCGTCAGTGCCTGACGCGGGTGCCCTCCAGGGTGCGGGAGCCAACTTCGGCAGACCTCGCCGCGTGCCTGGGGCCAGACTTCGGCGGCGCACCAGCGGCTGGGCCCACGGTCGGGCCCCAGATGGGGAGCGAGGCGCCCGGGCGCATGCTGACCAGGATTGAGCTCTTGGCAGCCTGCGGCCTGGACGAGGAAGACGTGGAGGCGGCCGTGCATCGCTGGCGCCAGCGGCGGCGCGCCGGAGCCACGGAAGGGTGAGGCCGCGCGGGGCTAGCCTCACAGCTGCTCCGGCGGGGGCGCCGAGCCGGCCTTTTCCTCATGTTGTTTCCCTTGCGGACTTTTTTCCGTTCCATTCCGAAGAAATCGTACGGCAACGCCAAGAGTCCGGAGAGGTTCCAAATGCACCCGTACCTCCAGGCTTTGGGCCACCCACAGAATCTTCATGTTCGGAGACGGAGGAGTCGTAGGGGACCTTGAAGACTCGACGGGCATTCCGATTTGCATGTCGTTTCGCATCCCGATGTACATATCGTTTGCAATTGGCTTCGAATTTCGGTTTAAATTATCCATGGGACAACCCACGGGACAACCGCGGGACAATCTGCGGGACAACCACGGGACAGCCCGCAGGGCACCCACGGGACAACCGACGGGATAACCCGCGGGACAATTCACGGGAGGACCCACGGGACAGTAACGGGACAACCGTTGGACAACCTTTGGACCATTCACGGGAGAACCAACACAACAGCCATACCACAACCACGGAACAATTAACGTCGCAACCACGTGATAGCCCACGGGACAACCTCGCACCAGAGCAAACACGTTTTCGCTTGACCTGGCCCGAATTTGCCTTGGCCGACACATCATCACCCTCGCGCAGGTTCGCCTCGTCCGCGCGGTCGACACGAGCCGAAACCGAGATCGATGTCCCAGTTGGCGGACGGGCCTCTTTCGTCACTCTCGCAGGCGGCAGGGGATCCCTTCGCAGAGCGTCGAAATCTTTCGCATCGAGGACATGCTGTTCGGTTTCGGGCCCCTTCCTCCTGGGGTACCTGCCCTCTTCGATCCTGTTGACGTTCGCCCTGTTCTTGCGAGTGGGTCCCGAACAGCCTGTCGCCAGGTGCCTTCCTTCCACGATGGCGTACCTCACGTTGTGCAAAAACGCATGAGGAATTTCTCCCATTTCTGGCCTGCGGAGGTGAGGAGTAAGGTAGCCTTCGGAGGAGGCGGCAGATCTTGGAGGCGGCGATTTTGCCGGAGGCCGGGGGGAGGGGCAGGGCAGCGACGGGGGAGCGAGGGGAGAGGACGACGAGGGAGGTGGACGAGGGGCGATGAAGTGGACGGAGGACGGAGGGAACAGGGGAGGGGGGAGGAGCGAGGAGGGGGGAAGGTGGAGTAGGGCAAGGATCAGGGGAGGAAAAGGTAACCATACTGCTGCCCGTCGGTCATTTCCCCCTTTTTGGGTCTCCTGGGAGGCCCTCGTCGCCGCCGCAGGATTCGCTCCGAAATTCTGGCCAAAACGCACCCTGGGAGAGGTCCGGGGAGTGGTGGTATTGGTACCTTTTGGTTTCCCCAAAGGAGGAGCATGAGGAGGCGGTACACCTGGCCAGCGCAGGCAGCTGGCAGCAGCGTGGCGGCAAGTGGAAGAGCCAGGGCGGCTGGGGCGACGGCTCGCCGCGGGGACCGCGCGCGCGCGTTGGGATGTCTCTGGTCTTCGTCGTCGCCGTCGTCTTCGCCGTTCGTTGTCGTCGATCTTTGTCGTCGTCGTTGTGGTCGGCGTCTTCGCAGCTCGTGGTCTTACGGTCGTCATTCGTCATTTGCCAGTCGTGGCCGTGTCGTTCGTCGACGGCGGTCGGCCGTCGTCTTTCTTGTCGTCGTCTTCGCCGTCGTGTTCGGCGTGGTCTTCGGCGTCAATTTCGCCGTTGTTCCTGCTTTTGTCTTTGCCGTCGTCTTGGCCTTCTTCGCCGCTCGTCGTTCGTCGTCGTCGGGGAAAGGTTCTGAGGAGTAGGAGGAGCTGGGAGGGGAGGAGGGAGGACAAGGGGGATGAGGGCGTGGAAGACCACAGGAAGGGAGAGCATGCCGGGATTGGAGGACTAGGTGGACGAGGAGGAGCGTAGAGAATAAGCTTTATTATTATTATTATTGTTAGCATTGTTATTTTGCATCACGATTATCCGTATCATTATGATTAGCCATTGCAGTAGGGTCATCTTCATTATTGTTTTTAGCATTGCTATTATTACTATTAGTAGTGTTGTTATTCTTCGTATATCTATCAGTACCAAATGCAATATTTGTAGTATTAGTATTCATGTTAGTGTTCGTCCTATTGCTATTGGTTTATTGATTTTACCTTTAGTATTCTTATACTTTTTATGTTTGCTGTTCTTCTTGTTGACTATATGATTTTTCGCATCGTTTTGATAATTCCTCTTATTCGTATGTTTAACTAGTTGATTTGTTCGTTTGGTTTTGATGTTGAAATTACTGGTATGATCACGCGACTGAGTGCTGAGCGAAATGCGAGATGCGAGCGACGACGACGGTGCGCCTCGGGGTCCGGAGCGCCAGAGCCGCGGGGCGCTTCGAGAGAGCCGAGGGAGGCACAACCGCCCCGACCCCCGCGACTCGCGGATAGGCGACGGGTCCTGCTCCCGTGCGGAGTCGGCGCGCTCCGTCGCCAAGTCGGGCGGCAGTGGCCTCGTGTTCCTGTGGGTTCCAGACCCGGGTCCGTGGCTCTGTGCGCCCACGCGCCAGAGCCACGGATCTCCTCGATCCACGTGGGCGTGTGCCCGGATGTGTGGCGTGTGCTGACCAGCCCTGCGCGTGTACTGCGCTGCCCTGCCCGGCTCGACTCCTCCTCCCGGTGCGCCCACTGGAAGGCTTCGCCTGGAGGGGTGCCGAGCGCGTGTGCAGGTGGCTCTCCTGCTCTCCAGAGGGCGGTGTTCGCGGACGCGCGGGGCCGCGCCGCCCTTTTCCTGGCACCCCCCTTGCCGCTGGCGTTTCGGCTCCGCGCCACCGTGGCGGGTGCCCAGTATCTCGTTGGTCCGAAGCATACGCC